AAAAAAAAAAAAAAAAAAAAAAAAAAAAAAGAGGGGCGCCCTTTCCATCCGTGCAGCTGCATTGCAAAGGGTTCTTCTAAATGGCCCGTTTCTCTCTAAGGTTAGACTTTCTCATTTCCATTTGTTCCTGGACCCTGGCTATTGAAAAGAAAACGAAGGCCATTCTTTCACTGAAGGAGAGCAGGTGAGAAAAATGAACATTTATTGATGTGGACCATGTGCCAGATGCTTTGTGACCTTATTTTCCTCCTCACAAAAGCCCCTTGGGTTAGATGAAATTATCCCCATTTTGCACATGAGGAAACTGAGGCTGGCTGAGGTCAAATCACTTGCCTGAGGTCACACAGTAAGTGGGGAGCAGGATTCAGCCCCAGGGCTCAGGGGCTTTCAATAGCTGACGCTTTGTGACATCTGCTCTTTCCAGCAAGATCGTTTGTGTAGAGGTGGAGGGATGGGGGTTTGGGGTGAGGAAGGGTAGAGTTTGGAACAAGAGCAGAACTTGGGATCCATGAGCCAGTGTGCTCAGGGCCACCTCCTGCCCTCTCCCCATGCAAGGACCTCCCTGGGGCGGGGGGATGGGGTGTCATTCCTGCGTGGACCCCAACAGTGACCCTCCACCGTGGTCACAGGATGCATGAGCAGAGGAGGAGTGAGGGCTCTGGCTCCTCTTATCAAGGGCAGCAATTAAAGGACAGGCTCAGCACAGTGACCGCCCTCCTCACCCACCTGTGCATTTTCTGTAGATCCAGGCACCTCAAGAAGATGACTGAAGAGTATCCTACCCTCCCTCAGGGAGCAGAAGCCTCCCTACCGCTGACAGGAAGTGCTTCCTGCGGCGTCCCCAGCATCCTCCGGAAAATGTGGACCAGGCACAAGAAGAAGTCTGAATACGTGGGAGCTACCAACAGCGCCTTTGAGGCTGACTAAAGGTGACCCTCCCCAGGTGCCCTGCGCAGTTCACTGCACAAGGGGAGGAAACTTCCAGATGGGAACTGAGCGACATTCACCTCTGCTACTAGCTGGTCCACGCACATCACCCTCCAGTACTAACTAATCGCCCTGGCTCAGGAAACGGGAAAGGAACCTCCCTAGAAGGCAAAAGAAAACTGTTCCTTCTTAGAATCGATAAAGCCATTGGTCTGAAAGTGACTTCGGGAGGTCATCAAGTTTATATCCCTATGTTTAAGCAAAATGGCACCAAAATCAAACTTTCCCAACCCATTTTAAAGACCTCCAAGGAAGGAAGCAGGCAATTCCTCAGTCTTCCTTGTGAGTCGTTCTAATTTCCGGTATAAATGTAAGAATTTGATGTTTCAGGCACCTGTAAGCACAATGGTTCTCACTGTTCCTGCCACCATATTTATTTCATCTTGATGAGGTACGATTTTTAGTGACAAAGCGCTATATATATTTACTTAGTAGTTCTAATATTCATTTGAGTGTATCGTCAAGATCAGTTCTGATGACATTTGGCATGATTGCATGAACTCTCTATTCTTTTACATGTGATTTTTCTATAGGAAAACATGATTTAAATTTTTGAATGCTGACATTTTCTGAAGTGACACAGTCTAGTGGAATTAATAATACCTTGCTTGGGTATAATTATTTTAACTTTTGAAAATGCTCTCCCATCCATTACCTCTTACATTCACAAAATTCCTCTTAAAGAAAGCACAATTATTCCCAATCTACAGATGGGGAAGCTAAGGGCCTTAAGAGGTTATGTGACTAGATACTAGATAGTGGAACTAGATACCAGGTCCTCAGCTCTGCACCAGACTCCTTGTTTTGCCTACTCTAGTAACTGATTTGAGGATGGTTTTGAGGATGGTTTTGAGGATGGTCTCTGGGGGCAACATTTGAAGGAAATGATTTGACAAAGTTAGAACCAGTACATGATATAAATGATGTAAACCATTCATATGGTTTCATAATATATCATATTATGCTTTCCTCCTTTTAATGGAAATGTCATCATCAATTCTATATCAACATCAGTAGCCTTAAAATGATAACATGATAATGATAGTTACTATTTATCAAATGCTTACTATGTGCCAGGTGGGTTAGTGAGCACTTTACATACATTATCCCAATCTTTCTGTCAACTCTGAGTTAGGTGGCCTTCCCCATTTAATAGACACGGCTTTAAAGTAGTTAAATGATTAGTCTGAAGGCACCTAACCCACATGGGTGTCAGGCTCCAATGCCTGTGTTATATCTACTCCTTCATACAAGAATATTCAGAACATAGAGAAGAACCAAGGCTAGTAAATAATTTTCATGTCAAATGCTAAGCATAATTGATTGGCACAGGCTGCCTAGAGTGCTGTGTGGAGCTAGGATCTGAGATAAAGGAGTGCAGCGATCAATTGGTAATGCCTGCCTGTGGAGCGGATTAGTGGGATGTGCCTCACATATTTGTCATTTGTGGCCTCAACTCTGCCCCCAGAAGGCTTGTTTTCTAATTCAGAAGCTTAAATTAATCCAACCCACTTAACAAAACCAGTGACTCCATGGTGAATTTTAGTCTAAGACCAGGTTGGAAATTGCCATTTTTTGGTTACAAGGAAGACCTGGGCCACATCACTGGTCTCAGACTCAACTGTTATTCACATGCTGCTGCTCTGTGACCACATGTTGCTTTTTGATCTCTAAATTACCTGCTTCCACATCTCCAGGTGAAATGTAAGAAGGCATGGGGTATAAGAGGCCTGCGCTTCTGGGCTTTCACCTTGCTGACCTCTGCTCTTCAACCATTGTTTTAGACTCCGAACACCCAGTCCTCCCATCAGAACATGACTTGGAGATTTGGGCATCAAGTGCTCTTTCAATGAAGGTCCCAATGGACTGTGTAATAGTCTTACAGTGTATGGGTGAAGGGGCCCGGAACAAAGGTAGGGAGAAAACAGGTAGTTTACACTGGACCTATCGGAGTATCCTATGACTATTTATTTTAACTTATTTACTTTATAACTGATGTCCTCTATTTGTATGTGGCAGCTGGAGATCTATGTAGGCTGGAACTTATTTATTTTTAATTTAAAAATTTCATGATGAAGTGTTTGTCTTGTATAGAACATTTTCATTGGCCAGTTCAAATAAAAATAAAGTCTGCTTTGTTTGTGACATTAATAAATCAGCACAAGAGTATGCCTGGGGCTCCTTCATTGAATGAGAGAAGGCTTTCACAAAGGGAAAGAATTATGCATCTGTACCTCATTGCTCCTTTACCTAAATGAAAAGGATTGTGAGAAAGACCCCAGCATGTTCTTTCCATCCTAAGGCAATGTCTGGTTTTGATATTACGGGCCCTGCCCAGCAGTCAGCACCGGAGCCACTTCTGTTGCGGTCTGGCCTGGCCTGACCTGTGCTCTCAGGGTTCACCCTCCTCCCTGGGATGCTGCCCTCAGTCCCCACCACAAACCCCAGGGGGCTCAGTGACCATCCCTCTGTGCCCACCTCACGGTCAGCCTGTCTGGAGACTGCCCCCGTGACTCACATCACAGCCACTTGCCAAAGGATGCCAAGGCTGGCTGCAGATGGCTGTCCGGGTGTGAAGGAGCCTGGAGTCCTCCTGAGCCAGAGGCAACAGGAATTCCAAGACATTTAGGGTAATAAAGTCACCTCTGTTAGGACCAAGTCCAGTCACATATTTCAGTTCTTACTGGATGCTCTCTGTGGCAGGCCTCCACCCCACCCCTAGATCAGGCAGATGGGCAGTGGGTAGGGAAAGCAGTGACAGCCAGAGCCCGATTTGAAAAGGCATCATGTGACACGTTGTCTCTGACTCTAAGTTGGCAGAGACCTAGGGACATGCAAGGAAAAGCACAGACAAAAAGACAACTCTCCTAAGGATTACAGTTCCATTTAGTTTTCAATTTCTTATAAGAATGTCAGCCTCTGTTGAGAGGTTTGTGGTGAAGGCATTGCCACGTCGCAGTGGGACAGAGATCTCAGGGGGCAGTCACTTTGGATGTGGGACAAGACTCATACCTATGAATGTCCTCCGTTGGGAGAGGCATGTGCTGCCCAGGGAGTGGAACTGACCTAAAAGCAAGACCATCACTGACAGGGCAGCTGGGTCTGTGCCCCTTGTTGGGTCTGTGGAGAGACAAGTACGGAGGCTCATATCGCCTCACCCATAGGCCCTCCTTCCACCCCTCGTGTTCCTGGAAACCTCGTAAGTCCCAAGCCCTGGGCTGGCCCCTAGGAACACAGGTTGCCATGAGGCTAAACTCCCTTCCCCTGGAGCCAAACAGCCAGGGCTTTGCCTGTTGGCCTAAGAGGTGCCTGTGCTTTTCCAGGAAGGACAGGGGGATCTGGATCCAGCCCCCAGGAAGGAGGGCTACCTGGAATTCCGGGCAAGTGCTGACCCACGTTTTGGACTCCATCAGCAGCAGAACAAGTTGAATTTCCTACTCTTTGACCACCTGGGTCCCAGAATTCTTCAGGGAGAAGCCCCACTTAACACCAGCCAGCTTTCGCTCACAGACTCCACGGAGCTCAGGGTTTTGGGGGGAAGAGGAGGTGGCGAGGACATCAGGAGTGCAGCAGCCGCCCCCGAGGACATCAGGAGTGCAGCAGCAGCCCCCGATGAACAAGACACAGCTACTTCTAAAATCAAACGCCACACCAGTCCTCCAAGGGATCACATTCTCTGGGTGACCACGTTCAGATACAGGGCAAGAAGCAAAGCAAACAATGGAAATGGTTTTTGTTTCACTCAGGACTGGCTCTGGCCACACTAAAACTGCAGCTTGTTCTGTTTCGCAGTGTCTGCCCACCCCACCCCTGCCATCTTCCCAGTCTGCATAAGCACACACATTATCTTTCTGTCCCTGTCGCTCCCTTTCCCTCCCCCTGCTCCTTGCCCTCTGGTGGGGCCTGAGCCCTCCCGGTGTCCTCTGCCCACCCAGGGCTCCGACCTCCTTTATCCCACGAAGGGCCTCCCATCTTGGGTACCCCATGCTCTGAACTTCTCCAACTGCCAGAAACACTCACTGGCTATGAAAGCTTGAGAAGCTGTTGAACCTCATGGAGACTCAGTTTCCACGGTAGTTGAAAAGAAAATGTGGTATCTTCCTCCGAATGTCCTGGAAAAGATGCAACGAAATGTGGGCGTGAACATGCAGCCAGTACGCAGCAGTACAGCAGTGCGCGTGGGAAAGTGTGGCCATGCTCCCACGCTAGCTGGTAAAGGTCAACGCCCAGAGCTCCCTGAAGCACCACCCACCCAGCCCCGGTTACCCAGGCCCTCCCCGGGACCCTCGCAGACCGCCACCCCCTGGACCAGCTGCTGGGGGTAACGCCCAGCTCTAGGGTGCAGGGGCTCCAGGGCCCACTCAGCGCCAGGGCCAGCATTGGTTCTCATGGGTCGTTTGCCCAGGCAACACCAGTTGTTAAAAATCTGTGCTTGCCTCCTGGAGACAATGTGTTTGAATGTGCCTGTCTTCTAAGTTGAGGCATAGACCGCATGATCGTAGGCGGGGCTAAGGTATGGAGGGGGAATCCTGTCAGTCATTTGTGCCTTAGAGTAGGTGAACGAAGGAAAGGAGAGGAGGGTTTCTTAGGGACCAGGAGGTAAAGGTGACGGAGGAGGTGAAATGCCGAGGCAGGGAGGGAAGAAAGGGCCTGGAAAGGAGAAGCAAATTCAGGCGACTTTCTCCACTTTGTCTGTTTCTCACCACCTGTTTCTCACCACCAGTGTTTTAAATTCTTTGGAGTCGAAGTACGATATGCCTGGAAAACACACGTCCTCCAGGAAGAAGAAAGGAAGTGGCCAGCACAGGTGGTACTGCAGGGGCCCACTTGCCGGCCTGTGTGCCATGATCACCTAGGGGCTGGGGATGTGCACCAGGCTCATGGCAGGAAGCCTGATTCTAGACCCAGCCGCACACTGACTTGCAGTGTGTGTGTGTGTG